CATGCTAAATGGGATTTTGCCTCTGCAACTGATCTGAGAGAAGTGGGAATGTAGCTGAGAGGTTAAGGCTGCAAAGTTGGTATATTAACCACCTTACCGGTTTTTGTAATATTTAATGGAGATCGATAGAACGTAGGAACAAGGAAGAAAGCTAAGTATCGAAATCTTTGCTTTGATTTTTTTAAATACAATTTTAAGAAGAATGTAGAAATAAATGAAAATAATAGTAAAACACCCGTAAAACTAACATAACTATTCAATCAAGGTTCGTGACTTAACTAGCCTTCGGAGATAGAAACAAAACCATAACTCCCCCGGTTTTACCCCATTTTACACACAATTTTTTTTTTAATAAAACTGTTTTGTTAAACAAATTGAACGATTGTTTACTTAAATTTAAGCTTGGCTGCATTTTAAAGTAGCCTCCACACGTATTTTTCACAAATATTGAGCAACAAATGTTAAATTCCACTCGAATATCTGCTGCTCATTATAGTTTTTGCCCCCTAGTTTCCCGTATATGTAGATCATTTCTGCCGCCATGTTTGGCCCCTAACTTTTTGCCAGTCCCCTTTTTGGAAACGAAATGAAAGTTGTAACTTTCACTGGGGGCCAGGCGCGTGTATCTGTACGTATGTATCCACATCTGTATCTGTAGCTGTAGCTGTAGCTGTATCTGTATCTGTTTTTGGATCCTGGTCTGTGCTGCACACACAAATCAAAAACTTTTACTGCCTGCACCGCCCACTTTCATAACTATGGCCCATGTACGCCCACCATTTCCACAACCATATTCCCACACTCCCATTGGCATTCACATCCAGTCCCGCATCCACATCCAACAGCCTCAGTCAGGACCATTTCCATTCCCACTCGACCTAAACTAAGTTCATTTGTCTGCCCGTTATTTTTCGTCTATTTCGCCATTGTCTTTGGGATTCATTTTCACCAGAGCTTTTGTGCGAGAATTTAAAACAATGTTTACGCTGCAAGTGGCAATAGCAAATAAAGCAACAAAAAGCCAGCACAGCTGCTTATGGGGCACAACAACAGAAAAGCTGGGAAAAACCAACAAACAGGCCTCTTTGTCGATATATAATATATAATGGGTATATATGTATGTGTGTATGTAATATTGGCCAATGAGGAAACTGTCAGTCAGTCAACTTAGAAGTCAATAAAGTCACTGTGAAGGTTCTGTGTAAGAAATCAGAAGCTTAAAGTATACGAGAACTAAATGAAATTATTTTTTTACGTTTTTTTGTTTATAGTTTATAAATTTATAAATTATAAGCAAACATATCTTTGAATTAATCGCCTTTTCCTAGAACATGGGAAAGCATCCTAGAATGATGGGCTCAAAAGTTTGTCTTCAAGATAATTCAGGCATTTTTAAAATATTTCTTTATTAAATATATTAGCACAAGATCCATTTAATGATTGTCTAAAGACCCTAATTAGTTTAGTTATTTTCGCATAGCATTTAAAAACAAATTCTATTTATTAAAAACTAAGTGTAGTTCGGGGAATCGTTTTTCATCCTTCGTCCTTCTATTCCCTTCCATGTTACTTAACTTATTATGAGCAGACATTTTCGGCTGAGTGCTACACAAACGTCGATGTGGGTGTGCGCCTGAGTGTGTATGGGAGTGTTTGCGCGTCTTTATAGCTTTAAGTAAGCAATTTGAAATTTGAGCTGATGAACGCTGGCTACAACAAAGGCAAATTGTTGTTTTCCCAAATTGTTGTGAGTTAATTTTCTTTCACATTGTTTGACAGACAGACAGGACTACATACACACACCCACACACACACACATGATTTAAGGGTTAATTTAACATCAAATTGAATTTCCTTAAAGTCGGTCTTTTGTCCCAGCTCGTGACTGATGGCCAGGCCAAGAAAGTGAAAGAAAGAAAGGCACTTCTCCCGAGAGCCTGAGAAATTTCTAATTACAATAATTAATGCGTCGAGTTGAGTGTTCCCTGTTGCCTGGAACTGGAATTTTTTTTGCTTCTGGCTGAGTGCCAGGACAATTTCGCAGGCCTCCTCTGCTGCTGGCGGCGTCTTTATCATGACAATGCCAACATGTCGTATACTAAATTTTCAGGCATCATGTCTCCGTCGAAGGTTGACGTGAGCTCACGTACCAAAAGGAATAAAGTGGAGTGTGCCACGCCCACCACCTTTCACTCAGCAGAACATGAGCACACACACACACACACACACACAAAAAAAAGCAAGAAATAAATAAAGGAATGAATAAAATAAAACAAATTCTAAATGAAATAAAAAGAGCGCTTCTTTATGCGCATATATTCGCATATAAGACCCACGACGACGACAACGACCTGCGAGTTCAAGTCGGAAGAGCCGGAGATGCATTAGCATATCGTATTATCCAAAGGGTACCGAGGTATAGCATATATATACAGCAAATAACTTGACTTTCAGTGATCAGGAGGCGAAAGGTCAGGAGGCGAAAGGCAGGCCGAGGCTGCTCTGAGGAGGGATTGCTGATGCAAACAATATTTGGAATAAACACAGTTGCCGTTGCCTGTGCAGGGGGATTAATATGGAATTTAAAAGGCAGGATAAGTAGGTCGCATTTGCTGTTGCCCGATTTAATTCCCATAAATTGGGATGTGACTATTAATGGCAACGAATTTATTGTATGAAAAATCATTGTGAAACATCCGCAAGCCGCAGGATAATTCATCTTCTTGTCGCCCACACTCACGCCTTGCTCTTGAACCCAACCGCAAGTCGCATTTGTCGGTCTCCCGCACACCCACACACTAAACAAACGGACACCGCACGAACACACACATACGTCCCCAGGACACACCACCACCACACACACACACACACACACACACACACAGACACACAAAGTGTGCAGTCAGCTTAATTGCCGCACAGACCGGAAACCAAAACCATTTCCTATTTATTTCTTTTTCAGTGATGGTTAACAATGAAGTGATAACTTTAAGAAAGCTGAAGCAGTTAATGTCTTGAAAGGAAGCTATATCCTTGCAGTTTCCAAGCTATAAATGCTGAATGAACTATATTAAAAGACTTGGTAACTACCCGAACCTTGGGTATATAAATATAAAATATATAATATACAGCCAACATGATTTAGATCCCAGAGTATACTTATATCTCAAGGCTGAGAATGCAGATAGTATGCAGGAACCAGCAGGAAATATGCAGAGGCTGTTGTTGAATATGGAGGAGTATCTCATAGCCGGAGCGTTCCTTCCTCCTCGAATGAGTGTTTGAATTAGCAGATGTACGTGTCACATTCAGGACTCGTTGCCACTCGCATTTGCACATGCCAAATGCCGAATGCCAAATGTCGAATGGCGAAAACAAATTCCTGAGTAGTTTTTTTTTTTTTTTTTGTTTTTCTTACATTTTCCATTACGCCTGCTCATGCATTCTCTTTGCAGCACTCATGGCATTTCTCCTTTCCGTATGCTCTCTTTCCGCTTCCGGTCCGTTTTCGCTCCGCTTCCCCTTCGGGCGGTTATTTGCATGCAGCTCACGAGGCCATAGGACAAATTTTCTGGACTCGAAGTCTAAAGCCAGCACTAGAATCTGGCCTTGCTTAAGGCAGGCTCAAGGAACCCAGGCTCCGGGGGCATGCTGCAGGCTCAAGGAGTCGTCGAATACACACCCACAATATGCGGAAAAGTGGTTCAAGGAGCAGCAGACGACTGCCGATGAAGTGGATTGGTTATGAACTGAACCAGGCAAACAGACTGTTCCACTGAACTTGAATTGGTATTGCAATTGGTAGTCAGGAGCCGCTGCTCTTTCTTGTACCATATTTGGAGGCAAGGAGCAGCAAGGGAGATGTATAGATATATAGATTACAGAAAGTTGAATCATTTTCTGCTTTCAGAATATATTGAAAGATAATATTACTGATATGAAGTAACTTAAGGCAGGATTTATTAACATATATAATGCACAGGCCTCTTCAAAACTCAGTTTGGTAATTTAATTAAATTTAACCCTCTCCATCACGCCGCCTGCATTCACGAGTGCACTCACTCACTGTCATTACTCATCCTTTTCCCATATGCCGCATTAATTTCCTTGCTTCTGGAAATTTCCACGAATTTTCCAAGGCTTCGGATTTTCCAGGGACAAACTTTACGGTTCAAGTTTTCTTAAGGTAAAAAAGGAAAAACATGGTTGTTGGTTGGTCTGCTGGTCCGAGATCAACACAAAAGTAGCCGGAAAACTTCAAAACGATGAACTGTTAAGGCGCCTTCTGTGCCCATGCACTCAGAAAGGAAACTTGAATCAAATTAAAAATATAAAATAATAAATATATTAAAAATTCGAATTGTTTACTCACTCTTTCCTAGTAAAATATAATGGGTTACTATAATATTTCTTGTTTGATTTTTAGAGTTTTTAAGAGAGTTTTTCCTCTGTGTACCAGTTTATTTTGGCCACCAAGTGTTCTGTTATAAAAAGGCAACCGAGCATCAGGACCACTGCGCCTAATGTCCTTGATGCGTATGTGTGTGTCGGCGTGTCGCTTTGTGTGTTTTTGGGTTTGAAACTTTCTTTTTTTTTTTTTGTGTGTTCATGGAACATTTCACAGTTTTCATTTTCATTTCATTTTTGCTTTGGTTAATTCGCCAAGAGGATATAAAAAGGGTACTATTAATTCCCGATTTATAAATGATTTGTGAAGATATTTATAACAAAACAATTTTTAAATGTTTTCCTTAAGTCTAAAACCCAATGTTAATTTCTATTAAATTTTCCGAATATTTATACTTACTTATACAGAAACCCTGCAACTCAGTAAAAGAATATTTATGTATGTAATTTTGAATTTTAATAATAAATTTTGAATTTTAATAAACATTATTAAAAAACAGAAAATAAAGCAGAAGCCAAACATTATCAAACCTAATAACAAAACCAAAATATAATTAATTCCTCAACTAGGACTACAATTAAATTATTAAAACTTATGGTTTATATTGCTCGTCAAGCCGCTGGTCCTTCCACATCCTGTAGAGCTGATCGATTGCCTGAAGAATCTCGGGTAGCTTTGGATGCTCGTCGTAAAATCCAATCAAGAGCTCTGATACCAGGTGCTGCTTATTACATTGAGCTCTTAGCTGCTGCACTGTCTGGTCGTAGATATCGTTAATATTGTTAATCTGGTCAACAGCTTGGCCTTCGAACAAGCTTTCAAGATATGCCTCCAGCTTGTTATCTAAGGAAGCAATGGCCTCCAGGACTCTAGGCGAAACATTTGCCATGTCTTGAAGCAGGGGACTTAAAAGGGCTTGGAAAAAGTGCCTGGGTGGCTTTAAATGGGACTTGGCCTTTTCATACACCAAAACATCGATCAATCGCCCAGCCTTCAGGATCAAGGATTTTTGAATATACTTGTTCAATGTGATCGTCTTGGCGACGGCCAACTTCCTCTCCAAAATACGATTCTGGGCAGCCAGGACTTTGGGCTTAAGTTCAGTTGAGCCTGATCCTTTCAAGAGTTGACCGAAAGCCCCTCGATTGAGGGAAACTTCCTTCCTTCCCCTTTGGCCGATGTTCGAAAAACGCTTTCTGCAAGTTACGGTACAGAAGGATACAATGCTTTCACCAGCGTTAATTCGCGGCTCTCCGGCATCATAAACAGAATTAGAATCTGCCCAGGGTTCCCTCATGTAAAGCAGTTCTAGGGAAGAAGCCCCTTGCAATGTGGATGCTCGAGGTGCTAGATCGTTGACTTCTCTGTGGGAGCGATATGTGTCCCTCCGAGAAGGATCATCTCCGAGACTTTCGTCGTCTTCATTCTCCAAAGTTGCAGGAGAATACTTGTTTAGGACAGCCTCTATATTCCGAAGCTCCTGCAAGCATTTCCCTCTAAGTTCTTGAGCCCAGTTCTCCCAGTAGTCCGGGTCCCTATTCGGCGCCCCTGCCAAGAGCTTCTTCTCGATCTCCTGACAACGTTCACGAATCCTCTGGGTAAGACGGTCCTTCTCTTTCTGGATTTCCAAATAAGCTTGGACAGCCACACAAGGAACTGTCGTTGGTTCTCCTTCTTCAGACTTCTGCCTGTCCTCTTTCAGAGCTTCAAGAGCTTTACGGATCTCCATTTTATGCTCGGTTGCCTCTTTCAATAATTCTTTTATGTCTTTCACTTCCCTCTTCCTAAATTCTAATTCTTGTTCCACAGTTAACCCTTCTGGTGGCTTTTTATATTTCTCTTGAAGCTGGCTCAGTTTCAGCTGCAGAAGCTTCCGTTTGATGACAAGGAGATCGCGCCTGGATTCGAAAATAGTTTGTTCTTCAATCTGCTCTTGTAGATCCTCCCTTAGTCTTTGCTCCGATTCTTCTCTAGCTTGGCGCTGCCTTTGGGACTTTTTTTGTAAGTCATCCCTTTGTCTTCGTTCTGATTCTGCCTTCTCTTGAGCCTTTTCCTTCTCATCGAGCAACTCTTGCTTTCTAATTTGGTCTCTTTCCTTTTCGCGCTGCTTTTGGGACTTTCCCTGTAGGTCATCCCTTTGTCTTCGTTCTGATTCATCTGGAGCCTTCTTTTTTAGTTCCTCTTGCTTTTTCTTGTGTTCTTTTCTTCCACACACGTTTCTTATAGTGTCTTTCCCTTGCCGAGGGAGCTCATCCAGGCCACCTGTCGCTCTTCCCTGTTTAGTCTTCCGTCCTTGCTCCGCCTTCTCCCGATCCAACCGCTCCTTCTTCAGACGCGCTCGCTCTTCCAGCGCCCTTTTGTGGTGGTACTGCTTGAGCTGCTCATAGTCCGTCTCCTTCTGCTTTACGATCTCCGCTCGCATGGCGGCCTGCCGATCATAGATTTCGCAACGCACGCAGTTGCCAGCAGAGGGCAAAGGAGCCTTGTAGCTTTTTTGTAGTGCCTCTGGTTTCTTCAACTCCTTCGCACGCCCACGGCTCACTTGTTCCACTTTTGCCTCATCTTGTTTTTGGCGACGGGAAAGCCCCATGGTTCGGTGACTGGGTGCTTCCCGTTTCTTGTTCATCATATTGCGCTCATGGTCCCGTTGCTCCTGGACCTTGAGCCGCTGCTCGAGCAGACGTTGCTCTCGAAGCTGGCGGGCCTCTGCCTTTCGCTGGAGGTCCAACTGGCGTTGCTCGGCCACCCGCTGGAGATTGTCTCGAATCAGTCGCTCTTTCATCTCTAGCTTTTTGGGTAATCGACCTGAGACATCGCCCTCTCTCCGAGGCGGCTCCACTTGGACCCCAACCTCCTTAATTGCGGTAACTTTCTTTGGCTTCGAGTTGAGCCTTTGCTCTATCTTCTTGCGTCGGTACTGCTCCTCCAGAGCGCTCAGGTGTCGAACCCTCTGGCGCCACACAAAAGAAGATCCCCTGCTTGGACTGGCTGCGGAGGTATTGGGAGCAACTACCTCCGGCAGACTGGAGTGGAGCCGCCGCGCCTCGTCGAGCAGCACGCGCAGATCAGTGCGGCAGTAGACGTGGGCATTGAAGGGCTTCGACAGATGGCCCATCTCTCGCAGTTGGCGCTCCATCTGCTCTAGCAAGCCACTGCAAGTCCTGGGTTGATCCTTGGCAGACTCACTGAGAAAACTAAGCCAATTGTCGCATAGGACACGGTCCTCGGCAAACTCCAGACCCCTTATCAGGCCGCGAATGATGCCCATTCTAATGCTGCAACTGCGCTTGAGGCGCTCCTCACCTGTGATTACTTTTTTCTTGCTCGCCATTGAATCAAAATTAAACAAATTACTTTTGGTTTTTTATTTATAGTTTCTTTTCTAGCTTTACTAGTAGCACGTTGAGATCTCGAACTGATACTGAGAACTGTCTCTAACTGCTACTGGGATATAAGCTCACCAAACTCCAGGCTTACTTTGTTCACAGAAATGTCTGGACGCTTTCAGGCAGCAGCATAGCAAATATTTTGGTCAAAACAATCAAAAGTGGCAACCACAAGGCAAATAGAAGGGGGTAAGAGGGGGAGGGAGGGTAGTGGTGGGGCTAGGAAAAACAAAAAGAAATGAAAATGAAACAAAATGTTGGCCGGCAGCTAAAAGGGAACAGCTACTTGGTAACTATAAATGGCCCAAAACGGACTCTGTCTCGACCAAATAATTTGGCCATTTTCTGGCCGAAAAGCAGGCACACACGCACATTACCAAATATACACACACACACACACACACACACAGAATAAATAACTCAAACTATTTGCTTGAAAAGTTTCCTTCGCCCTGCGGCAGCCTGTTGACTTACAAAAGTTCTCCTTCCCCATTGCCATTTCCATTGGCATTCCCACACCCGTTTCCCGCAATTTTCCGAAATTTCCCCCGGTCAGCCTTGGCATGCAAAATAGTTGAAAAATGTAAATAACCAGAGAAGCCGGCCGCAAGGACGAAATAATTCATTAAAAGAATATCAAGTGTTAAAAGTCACACAATTTGCCAGGCACAAAAGGGAAAATTGTGCCATCGGCAATTTTCCCACCACACAAAACTGTTGTGTGTGTGTGTGTGTGTGTGTGTGTGTGTGTGTGTGAAGCAACAACAATTTTCGATAGTTATCGGCAGTTCTTTAAGCAGCAAATTAAGTTTGAGTAAAAGATAAGTGGTTAAAGGCTCAAAGTTGTAACAAACACACTCACCGAGCGTTGTCCACCTCAACACGCTCTGTCTACTTTTTCTGCTCGGCAGGCTCAGGGAAAATGGGCGTGGGTTTTGTGTTGACATGAACAATGGTGCTACATAACTAATATTGTAGACAGAGATACTCTAGCTGGGGATATGGTAAATAATATGAATCAGACGAAGGAAGTGTACCTATTGAAGATGAGGCTCCGATGTTATTGGCCTCAATCTAAACCCTCCCAACCTGTGAAGTCCATTCAGGCTCCACCCTTATACAACCAATGCTCTACATCCCCTTAGGTGCCCAACAAGATATCAAATTAGTTCATTTTCAAAGTCATATAATTGCAGGCTGAGATAATATTGAAAGACATTTTCCTAAATCTAATCCTTAAGCCTAAGTTTACGTTATTTACGTTACGAGACCTCTTATTGAGTCAGTTTGTTTTAGATCCAATGAAAGGAAATAAAATTTAAGATAAGAAAGAACGCTTTTTCCTTTTTTTACTTTACATTAAATAGATTAACTTATTAATATTCTTTTGAATCAATTAATTAATTAAGATGTGCAAACTATTTCAGAAGTCTTGGCGAAATTATAAGGATGGGTTCAGTTTTATTTTGTTGTTTTGCGGCTAGGCCGTACTCACGCTTTCTCCATCGACGTCAGCAGGCCTGATGACTGGTGATGTGTAGCTGTATGTGTTTTAAGTTATTTGAGGGACAAAACGATATTATAATTGCCAAATCTCCCAAAAAAAATTGCTAAATTACGACCGAAAAGGTTTATAAGTACGAATTCTTAAATCAAAAGCTCCTATATGCAAAATTAATTATATTTTAGACACTATCATTCATGTTTATCCGCTCCTGGAGCAGAGTGTGGGCCGGATCAGCCACCAGCTCTCAATACGGATATGTAATGCTACTTCCGTCGTTCGCGCTGATGAAGATGACACGCACTATGTGCGACAGGGATGGCCGCAATCCCTTGCGTGAGGCGTGAGCGGAACGAGACCAGCCCGCCAAGGTGTGGATGCGGCAGAGCGCACGCGATGTGGCAAAGATGCACGGCGATGTGGCAAAGAACGATGTGGCCACGAAAAAGACACACGGCGATCCAATAGGTGCGCCGAAGAAAAGCACGGTGATCCAATATGTGCACCGTGTGAGGGAACGGCGATCCAATATGCGCGCCGTGTGAGGGAACGGTGACACGTTAGCGAGGCGGTAAAGAAAATCCAAATCGAGGATCACCGCAATCGGCACGTGTATGGCCGCCGAAATGGGAAGCGCAGCCCCACGCTGTGCGTGCGAATGCTCCGATGACACGTGGCGTTGATCCCGCTGAGAAGCCACAGACAATGCCAACGATGAATGCCACAAATGACTGCCACCTCACGTGGTGGACAATTGCTGGCAAAAACAATGCCGGTCGCTTGGACGACTCTGCCGATACGGCTGACGCTGTTTTGAAAAGGCAAAATTAGCACTCCGGCGATCGATTATTCACACAAGCTTACCAATATACGTTAGAGCACTAAATTTACTTAATATGGGTATGATTCGCTTTAACAAATACTGTCGGATCGACACGATGCTTGCGGATTTAGGATCGACAAAAATTAATCCGAACTCGGGGACGCCTTGTGAGAAAGAGAACGGAAGTGAGGGGATCCAATGTGACCGTGGCTTGCAAAAATCCTGTTCGCGAATTTTTGTGGTCTTTTTTAGGTCCTATCGCATATTAGCGATTTGGCAGGATCGTAACTTTAACAGCCCGGTTGTTTGAAAAATGTGGGCGATAAAACTTATCGAGTTGCCACACTGGCTCGATTCCCACAACCACAGCTTTGATTTTTAGTCCCTGTGATTAACAATAAAAGCTGAAAAAGGAATCAAGAGCAATCACCAGATATCCTTGGCATGAAATCTACCCAGTTCCTTTCCGTTCATGTCCTCTAAGAGGTAAATTGACTGTCCAATTCTTGCCTTCACTCGGGCCTTGATACCTACAGGAGCGAGTTTCGCATTAAAATCCTTTGCTGCGTTGCTAAGTACAAAATTCCTTTTGACTACTTCTTGGCCAACCTCAAAAGAACGGGGTCTTGTTCGAAGATTGTAAGACTTTTGGTTTGCCTCATAAGCCTTATTCAAATGTTTGCCGATGTTAGAACGAATCCTTTGGAATTCGTCAGTTTTTGTCAGGCTTACTTCGCCTTCTGCAAGAAGGTTTAGTTTACGCAGCAGTTTGTAGTCATGACCGTGGGATATCATGTGTTGACCAAAAACAACATGATAAGGCGATAAACCGATGGATTGGTGAATCGAGTTACGAAGAGAGCAGTTGATGCTACTGAGAAATGTGTCCCATTCGCGTTGGTCGGTGCGAATATATGCTCTTAAAGCAGCATTGATTGAACGGTTGACTCTCTCAGCACTGTTGGATTGTGGAGCATAGGCACCAGTAAACATATGACGAACGCCATATTTCGAAAGGAAGTCAGAGAAATCACGGCTTTTAAATTGAGTTCCGTTATCACTGACGACTGTTTCGGGTACACCAAAGCATGAAAATATTTCATCGCGCAATATATTGATGACCACTTTAGCCGTAAACTTTTTCACTGCTTTTAGAAAGGTGAATTTGGAAAAGTGATCAAGAATAATCAATATTCCAATATTGCCGGAATTGGAGCGCGGAAATGGCCCTATAAAATCGAGATAAAGTCTTTGGAATATCCTTTCACTTTGCACTTGTGCTCCCATTGGTGGTTTTAAAGAATGGGTAGGATATTTTGTGGTCTGGCATGTTTCGCAATTTCGAATGTAATCACGAACGTTGATAACCATGTTTGGCCAATAGAAACGTCGTCTGATACGCTCTAGGCATTTGGCCATTCCACAATGAGCAGATGTTGGTTGGTCGTGAGCCGAACTAATTACACTTTGACGCAACGACTCAGGAACGAAAAGTTTCCAGCAATCGTCTGGTGAAACGTCATAAGAATTGGGGAACGTTGCACGATGATAGATGAACTCATCTATGACTTTGAAATCCGGTGATTTCAGAGATTTGAATTTGTCTCTGAGAGCGGAGTACTCTTCCGATTGAAAAGCGCTTGATGATAGGTCAATTTCGGGATAAATTTCAAGGTCTATTGCAGAGATGTCAATCTCTTCGAACGATCGAGACAAAGCATCTGCCACCACATTTTCGGTTCCTTTGCGATGTTCGATTTGGAAAGAAAAACCCTGTAGCTTGATAGCCCATCTTGCCAATCTACCGCTTAGATCCGATTGGTTCATTAGCCATCGAAGACTTGAGTGATCGGTTACTACCTTAAAGCTATGACCGTCAATGTACATTCTGAACTTTTTAATTGCTAACACTACAGCCATGCATTCGAGTTCCGTAACTGTATAGTTACGCTGGGCTTTGTTTAGCTTTTTGGACATGAACGCTATGGGACGCTCACAACCGGAATCGTCGCATTGAGCTAGAACTGCACCCACTCCATGTAGTGAAGCATCACACTGCAAAATGAATGGTTTGTCGTAATTGGGATGAACAAGGCAAGGAGCAGAGCATAACTTGGCCTTGATGTTTTCGAAAGCTTCTTGGGCATTATCGTTCCAACTTAGTGTTTTGCCACGTAGTTGTTCCGTCAGATGGAAAATGACTGTGGAATAGTTGGATATGAACCGCTGGTACCAACCAGTCATACCAAGAAATCTTCGGAGCTGTTTTTGGGTCTTCGGAACCGGAAATTCGCTCACGGCTGCGATTTTGTTTGGATTTATTTGAAGAGTACCTTCACCCACCAGGTAACCAAGGTAGTCTACAGTTTTCAGGCAGAATTGACTTTTCTGAACGTTTATTGTTAATCCAGCCTTACGCAATTGGGTAGCTACTTCGGATAAATGCAGAAGATGTTCTTCGAAGTTGTTTGACAAAACAAGCAGGTCATCGAGGTAGACTAACACATGCGATTTTAATTGATAGGGAATAACCAAGTCCATTAATCGGCACATGGTTTGTGGAGCGTTTGACAATCCAAAAGGCATCCTCTTGAATTGATATAGCGGACGATTCGGAA